TGCTTGATCGTAAGCGATGTGTTGTATTTCTTCTGTGCCTGCCCATCACCTGGCCCTGGAACCCGCCTCCAGATGCTGCGAGATGCTCGTGAGAGCAATGGTACGAAAAAGTGGAGCACCTGAATTTGGCCTCACTTTCCTGTCTCATGATAGGAAAGTGGAAAATCTCATAAACTGAGAAGTCTGCTGTAGCGAGTCTTTCATAAACAGTAAAAGCTGGGCGAATATTTGGAAATATTTCTGCAGATTATCAGTAAGCCTCATCTCTTGATCTGTGCTCTTGCACCCTTACTGTCTCCCTGTGCAAACACAGGCATGCCCACGGGTTGACGAACTGTGCAGGAAAAGGGCCTTCATCTCTAACTCTTCTCAGTGCCCAGGGGATTTCTCTCAGTCTTAGTGCACTACTTGGAGTCATCCCAGAGCCGTGTTTGGCACCCTATGGGTGTTTTTTTCGGTAAAAGAGGGTAAAATTGATCAGCCTGATTCAGAAGGGCAAAAAGTCCACAAAGGCCATCAGCGATGGCAGGTTTTGTTACGAATTCACAGGTTGTGCCCTGGGCTGTGCAAAGCTTTTCCTAGAGCAGCTTTGCTGCTTGGAGAGACAAAACAAAGCTGGGAGGGGGGAGAAATCTCAAAGCCCAAGTTTTTAATAGCAGCACTGTGAAAGCTTTTAGTACCACAGAACGGACAGCATGGCGCAGGTGCAGTCAGTGACCTGTTTTGTTCAGGCAGAGAAAGATGTCTTGGAAACTGCCGCTCTTTTTTCCTTTGGTTCTAACAATATTCCCTCTTGACCTGAAATTATTTTAATGGCAGCGGAGACAAAAAACTCACAGTGGTTTTACTCTTTGGTGTTTGTTGGAATCCCTTATGTGGAGGTTTTCCTGGTTAGTTTAGTACTGTTCTTGGGAACTCTTCAAACGAAACCATAGCAGTTAACCTGCGATCCATCCTGTCCAACCAGTCTATTGAGACAGCAGGTGGAAAACGTACTCTAAAGGGGGGGTCATTTTAAAGAGGAGCTTGACTTGTAGGCTCGCTCTCACAGACCCGCAGTGAAATACAAAGCTGGAGAGAAATTCGTTTGTGTGTGCAAGAGGTGTATGGGGCATTCATCCATGCACACACCCAGGAATGTACTGGGAAAGCAAGCAGAACTGTTTGGTTTTGTAATATAATTTCAAAAATAATCAGCGACAAATAGATGTGGTGTCTGGGCTAATATGTTTTCCCAATAGTTTTTCTAGGCTGAAACCAGAGTTTTGGCCGAGGGAGAAGGAAGCAGAAATGGATGTTTCAGCTACAGATCCCTGTGGCTGTTACCGCTCTTGGTTGTCAAAGGGACCTTGAGTTTGACTGTCAGGAAGCCCTGATATCAGCTCTCTTTCTACCTTCTGCAGAGTAAGTATGGAGCCGATACGTAGCTGGTTGTCGGCCCTTAGGGTCTCCAGGCCCGGTTCCTGCTGGCTGG